GGAGAGGGTTGTTTAGGGATTTTGGGGTTCCTAAACCCTAAACCCTAAACCCTAAACCCTAAACCCTAAAGCCTAAAGCCTAAAGCCTAAACCCCAAACCCTAAACCCTAAACCCTCCGAACTTTTGGGTTCAGGGCCTTTTGGGGTTAAGGGTTTATAGGGCTTGGGCTGCTTTTGGGATTCTGCGGGTTTTTGGTTCAGAGCTTGTAGGGTTTAAGGCTTGGGGGATGCTAGACTTACCCTAAGCCCTCAACCCTAAAGCCTAAACCCTCGGCGGGCAAACCTAACCCTACACCTGAACCCCAAACTGGCTTAGGGTGCTTGAGGCCTCGATTTTATTATTTTACAAACTTAAGGGCCCCCTTCCTTGTCCTACTTGTACGGGGGGGCGCCTACTCTCTTTGATGACTGGTTTGTAACCCTATTTCAATAGTGGCACCCGTTTTAGGGCTTGGGGCTTAGGGTTACTTGATCAGGGAACCGTGAACTCCCCAAGACAGGGCAACCAGTGAACTACCAAGGATGGGTCTCAAGGGTCGATCCTCTTATACACCCCTTGTATACCCTCTACAAATTAAGGGTCCATACATCCGAACCCTGTAAGGGGAGTAAGGGACCATATAACGGGCCCATGTAGCTACCCCTAAACCCAAAAACCCCAGAGCCTAAACCCTAGACATCCTAAACCCTAGACCTATTCAGGGCCCATGAAACTACCCTTCGATGATGGGTATCAAGGGGTGATCCGCAATTCTTGCAAGCTCCTGAGTTGAAGGTTGGGCTTCTGCCGAGGTCGAGAATTCCCCCCCCCCCCCCAAGGTGTAGGGTTTGGGGTTTAGGGCTTAGGGCTTAGGAACACCCAGCGGAACAGAAACGCCAAACAGCCTCACAACCCCTAAACACAGAAACCCAAATCGCAAATTTTCGCATGAGAGCAAGCTCACAAAATCATAGTCCTGTGTGACTACCACAAATTGTAAGGGCCCTCCTTGCAATGGGGTTTAGGGTTTAGGGTTTAGGGTTTAGGGTTTAGGGTTTAGGGCTTACCCACAAAAATCCTGATGTAGGTAACCTGTGGGAGCCAAACGCCCAGGTGCCGGGCCTGAGGGGAGGCCCCGGCGTCCAGCAGAGCGTGCACCAGCCGGGAGGATCCGGCAGGTTTCCTCACAAGAAGTTCTACGATTTGCTTAAGAACCCCAAAAGAATAAAAAATATTTTACTTCGAACATCCCCACCCTGTTTTGGTAGAGATACTCTGGGGTTGGGCACTCCGGGGACAATCTGGGGTTGGGCACTCCATCCAGGGAGACTCTGGGGCTGGGCACCGCGGGGACATTCTGGATGGGCACTCTAGGAACTCTGTCTGGGGTTGGGCCTCTGGCGCTGGGCACTCCAGGGAGACGGGCACCCCAGAAAGACCCGGGGTTGGGCACTCCAGGGAGACTCTGGGGTTGGGCACTCCAGGGACACTCTTAGAGTTGGGCACTCCAGGACACTTTGGGGTATGCGCGAGGAGTAGACCGGGCAAGGAGAAGAGTTCCGGGCGAGGAGAAGACTTGAGTTAAAAATCTAACAACCCCACACCGAGGGTGGGGAATAACAATAATCCCTATATATTGCCCTTACAAGGAAGAATGTTTTTCACTTTTTGGGGGGGCTCTTAGGCAACTAGTAGAGTTGAGGGAATTCACCCAAAAGGGTCCGATATAGGGGCCTAAATAATTAGAAGAGTGTTTTGGGGGGTTGTTATAGTTTAATCATCTAGGGGCCATCAGGGAATACTACTGGAAACTATTCCGACCCCCATATTGCCTGTATAGTATATACTTGGGCTTTAAAGAGGTTCCTCCGTAGTAGCTGTAGGGGGCCAAGAACGTACTCGACCCCACAAGGTCTGAGGCTGCCTAACCCGAAATACAGGGTGGAGCGTTTGAGGAAACCTTCTATCCTCAGCCCCCCCAAACAGCTGACCTAAACCCTAAACCCTAAACCCTAAACCCTAAACCCTAAACCCTAAACCCCTTTGCAGCCAGGGAGCTGGACGGCCTCCTTCAGCGCGACGTAGGGGAAGTCGGCTTGGGACCCTTGCGTGATCGCGTTGGCGAAGCTGATGGTGCAAAGCCCTCGGCCGCTGATGACCTGGGGTTTAGGGTTTAGGGTTTAGGGTTTAGGGTTTAGGGTTTGGGGTTTAGGGTTTAGGGTTTAAGATATAGGGTTTAGGGATACACAGGGTTGTAAAGCAACACATCTGGTGCCCTTGGTCCACGTTTAGAAGTGCTCCAGAGGTAGGCACAAGCAAAGCCCAAGCTTTAGGGTTTAGGGTTTAGGGTTGAGGGGCAGCTACTTCCATGATGATACTGCAAGCATGATGGGCGTGTGGGAGAACAGTTCCGAGGTTCGGTGTCTAGGGTCTAGGGTCCAGGTTTGGGGTTTGGGGTTTGGGGTTTGGGGTTTGGGGTTTGGGGTTTGGGGTTTGGGGTTTAGGGTTTAGGGTTGAGGGTTTAGGGTTTAGGGTTTAGGGTTTATGGTTTAGGGTGACAAGGTTTAGGATTCGTTCTAGGGTTCACGGTGCGAGTGACGGAAAAGATGAAAGAAAAGTGGCCGTTTGACAGCTAGGTGACTGCTCTAGAAGTAGGCACCCCCTGTCCTTCTATGGGTAAATTCAAGCATCGGAACCCTCACAAGGAAGGATCATCTACATGGCCACAAAAGAGAGCAAGCCTTGGTCATGGCTGAACAGATGCCTTGGGACGTTCCCCCATTCTAGGGTTTAGGGTTTAGGGTTTAGGGTTTAGGGTTTAGGGTTTAGGGTTTAGGGTTTAGGGTTTAGGGTTTAGGGTTTAGGGCAGTGCCCCCTACTATAATCCCTACTAAGGACTGCTAGTATAAGGAGAATTATCCCGACAGATGCTGGTTAAACCCTAAACCCTAAACCCTAAACCCTAAACCCTAAACCCTAAACCCTAAACCCTAAACCCTAAACCCGAAAAGAGTGCCAAAGCTTCACGCGGAACAAGAGCATGGCCAGCGAGAGTGTGGATGTCGGCTCAATGCCCTAAACTCTAAGCCCTCCACCTAGACCCAAGAGCAACCTAGGAATAAAAAGGTGCGCTCTTTTGGGATTAACTAAAGGGCTCATTACAGAAAAATACTAAACCCCACAAAAGGGGAATAAGGGCCCACTTCTGGGTCCCAGGAGCCTTGACCAGGCCAGGGGGGGGTCCTGGTTTAGGAGGCCAGGTGCTCATGACCAAGGGCCTTGCCGAGTGAGAACCCTAAACCCCAAACCCCAAACCCTAGTTAAACCACTAAACACCGAATAACCCCTAAACCCCTAAACCCCTAAACCCCTGAACACCTAAACCCCTAAACCCCTAAACCCCTAAACCCTAAACCCCTAACCCCCTAAACCCCTAACCCCTAAACCCCTAACCTCCTAAACCCTAAACCCTAAACCCTAAACCCTAAAACCTAAACCCTAAACCTCTTCCAGCTTTGGGGCTGCAACCCCGAAGTTGTAAATGGGCGTAAGCACCGTGACCCTCCCTAAATGGGGGGCTGCCGAACATGGGGGTAACCTTTTTGGGGGTCCCTTTAAGGGGATTCTACTCTATTTGGGGTAGTCCCCCTTACTGTGGAAATACCCATACTAGTATACTAGAATAACGCTCAACACGCGATTCTATGCTAAAACATGATTGCCCCCTATAGGAATTGCACTAAGAAACCAAACGCTTCGTCAGGCATGTCGGAACTGATAGCCTCAGACTTAAGCCCTACAAAGCAGGGTTTAGGGTTTAGGGTTCAGGGTTCAGGGTTAGGGTTTAGGGTTCAGGGTTCAGGGTTTAGGTTGAGATTGGATGAAAAAGGGTTGACAGGCCCCAGAAAGCCCTGCCTAAAGCTTAAAAAAGACTGACTAAACCCGAAACCCCCAAAACAAAAAAAAAGCCGGACTCAACCCTGAAACCCTTAAACCCTGAACCCTGAAACCCTTAAAACCGCTCATGTTTCTACCCTAAGCCCTAAGCCCTAAACCCTGAAACCCTAAAAACCGCTCATGTTTCTGGACCCGAGACCGGCATGTACGAGGACCCAGGGCCCGTCGCGAGCGTTGTGGCTGACCCCCACCTGCTTAGGATGTTTAGGGCTTGTTGGTTAGGGTATAGGGTATAGGGTATAGGGTATAGGGTATAGGGTATAGGGTATCGGGCTTAGGGTTTCGGGTTTAGGGTTTAGGGTCTAGGGTTTAGGGCTTGGGGTTTAGGGCTTGGGGTTTAGGGTCCTTCTCTTGCTTTCTGTAGAGTAGATAGAGTGTCGGGCTCTAGACTACAGTGAGGGGGCCCACCATTATCTGAGGGCCCTTGAACCACATTAAGCGTCTCGGGTATGGGGTGACATCTAGAGGACCTGTAGCCTAGGGCTTAGGGTTGAAGGTTTGCTGGGTTTATGCTCACCAGCTAGTTTCTCAAGATGGTTTTTTAAGCCAGAGGGTGCACTTGACAAACATCCAACAAAACATTGCCCGTTATGCAAGAAGACCCAAGCCCAGAATTTACCCTATGCCCAAAAGCCTTTAAGCTCGAAGCTACAGGGCTAAAACCCCTAAACCCTAAAACGCCAAAACCCTAGACGCCTAAAACCCCAAACCCTCATAAGCCCTAAAGCCCAAAACCCTAAAACACTAAACCCTGTAGGCCCTAAGCTACAGGTCCCTGAACCTAAACCCTAAACCCCTGACCCTTTAGGCCCGAAGATACAGGGCCCTGAACACCCTTAATCCTAACCTCTAAGCCCTAAACACCCTAAACCCTCTATGCCCTAAGAAGCTACGAAGCCCTGAAAGCTGAAAAGCTGTTTTCTATTCGTAAGTTTCCGAAATTCGAGGTACCTTCTTGGGGTCCTTATGAAAAAGGAATCCTGCTATTTGGGGAACCCTAAACTTTGAACTTTAAACCCTAAACTCTAAACCGTAAACCCTAAACCCTAAACTCTCACGATCGTCAACCCCCATTTTGGGAGCCCGGCTTGTGGTCCACGACCAGGTACCCGGTGCCGGCATCGCAATCAACGGCCTTAGCTGCCATTTAGCTCGGGGAGTCTTAAATCCTAAACCCCTAGACATGCCCCGGATATCCAATACAAATTAAGGGCCCATACCTCCGAACCCTTTGAAGGAGGTTAGGGACCATATTCAGGGCCCATGGCCCTAAAGTTTAGGGTCCTAAACTTTGGCCCTGAACCCTAAACCCTAAAGCCTAAACCCAAAACCCATACCCTCAGCTTTTTAGGCCGCCTTCAGGGCCTGTTTGGGGTCTTGGGCCCATCAGAGTCCGCTAACACCTAGGGATTGCAGGGTGTAGAGTGAATGAACGGCTGCTACAAGTTTAGGGTTTAGGGTTTAGGGCTTAGGGCTTAGGGTTTAGGGAGGCTCTGGGGTTTAACTTTCCCGAAGGGTTGCTCGGCGAGGCTTCAGGCGTTTGTGGAGGCTGCCGTGAGACTTCGGCCCAAACTTGAACCCTAGACCCTGAAAGCCTCTTCACACATGTGACATGTTTGTTGGCCGATTTCGGGACCCAAGCCCGAAACCCCAAACCCTGAACCCTCATCCCTACTTGGAGGTTCATGGTACTTATTGACCAATTATAGCTGTACTTATAACCCACTTACAAGCCCCTTAAGCGCCCTAATATGGCTATATGTACAGTTATAAGTACAGGAATAACTGGTTAGTAAGTACAATGAACCTGCAAGTAGGCTGACCGAGGCCCGTGGGGGCTGGCGGACAAGGTACTTGGTAGCCCAGGAACCATAGTCCAATAAGGGCACCCTTTTTTGGGTTGGTTACTTCATAGGGAACCCTGAAACACCCTAAGCCTTATACCCTAAACCCCCTAAACCCGAAACCCGAAACGCGAAACCCTAAACCCTAAGCCCTAAGCCCTAAACCCTAAACCCTAAACCCTAAACCCTATCACTGGGCTAGCAAGGGTACAATGCCGACGGTGCCATTGGTGGGCCAGGGCCTTTTGTCGGTAAGCCACTTCACCTGCTCAGAGTCAGAGTCAGAGGGGCTCCCTAAACCCCTAACCCCTAACCCCTAAACCCTAAACCCTAAACCCTAAACCCCAAACCCCAAACCCTAAGTGCTTAACCCTCAGTGCTTGGTGTCTAGCTTAGGGCTTAGAGCACCCAATCAACCGATCAGAAGCTTAGAGCCCCCAAAAGCGGTTCAAAATGATTGCCCTAGGGTTTAGGGTTTAGGGTTTAGGGTTTAGGGTTTGGTCTCTTTTCGTGTGTATGCCGTGTAGCCTAAGCCCTAAAGGCCCAAAACCCTGAAATTCGTAACCCATAAAGTGCAAAACCCCTAAACCCTGACACCCCAGACCCTTACCCCACCCCCCATCCCCGCAACCTAAACCCTCCCCCTCAACCCAAAACCCTCCCCCCCCCCCCCCCCCCCCCCCCCTAAAAAAAAAAACACAAAAAGACATGAAAACAAAACAAGACATAATAGAGCATCAAACACAAACAGAAGCCTCAAACCCGCTAGCCCTGTCACTCTGGGAGTGGAGGGCCCTAAACCCTATAAACCCAAACCCCCCGAGGCCCGAAGCCCGAAGCCCGAAGCCCTAAACCCTAAACCCTAAACCCTAAACCCTAAACCTTAAGCCGAAAACCCTAACCCAGAACCCTACGCAGCGGCGGAACCTCAGGGGCGCCATTGCCGGCACTCACGGCGAAGCCGATGCGCGCGTCGTTGAGGTAGGTGTGTCCTTGGAGTGGGGCAAGGTCTCTGGTTGAGGGTTTAGGGTTTAGGGTCTCTGGATGAGGCTTTAGGGCTTTGGGTGCATATGTTAGTTGTACTTACGAATTCACAAACGGGCGCTGTTAGCAGATGAATTCCGAGAACGAAGTCAACAATAATTTAAGTATAAAAGACTCTGTGATCTTGGCATCTTAATGTCTTGGTCTGGACGTCACTTTCTGAACTAATAAAAAGACTTAAAAAGACCTATGAAAAGAACTACCAACAGGCCGTAACTTGCGAACCAAAACCTCTGGATGTTGTACGTGACTGACCAAAAGGTGAGTTGCAAAAGTCCAAACAAAAACCGTCTCCAAGTTCGTGAATTCCAGGATTTGCAAAGAAACCGTACAAAAGACCTTGGAAATGACGGCATTCCGAACGTCAGTCGCAGTGCTGAGGGGTGGGGCACACAAATTTTTCTGCTTCCCATGAGGAAGAGCCCCACACCGTTGTTCCGAAAAATGTAGCTCTTCTAGGGTTCAGCCCTGAACTCTTAACCCCAAAACGCTATTGGTACATGGATCTTTGAACCAAGTATATATTGTAATTCGAACCACAATTACCGTAGAGAGGCCGAACCCAGGTTAAACAAAAGGAACAACGAAGTAAATGGAATAAAACGGGAGAACCAAGGCCAAAAGCAAGCTAAACTCCGCCAAAAAGCTACCAAGCCACAGCACTACTCGAAAGCTGATTGCAACTCTGCCTCAACAAATCTACAGCTAAGTTTCCACCTCCATTCAGGGGTGCACTTGCTTGGTGAGGTAGTCTGACAAAGCAGGTTCAGAGGCTGTTGGGGTTTTCCGAAATTAGGGGTACCTCATTGGGGCCCTTATTGTAAGTGAAACCGAGTATTTGGAGGTCTATACAAGGGCCACCTAATTTTCGTGAACCCCCGTTTAGCAATGGGAGGTATATAGTTGTGAGGTTTTGCATGTTAGGTCTGACGGCACAAACCAAACACGGAATTGCGCATGTTTTCCTTGCCGTTTGGCAGCCACCACTGTACACATCGGCTTGCACCAGCCCGGAAAGCCACAACCCTAAACCCTAAACCCTAAACCCTAAAGCCTAAACACCAGAGTACCTAGAGACTCGCTAGCTGCTAGCTACTACTCAGTTGCTGAGTTCATAAGCCCCCAAAAGTGTACACTTTCAGTTCTATAGGGGATTACAGCATCCCAAAAAGTGCAAAGTGTACTCATTCAGCTACAAAGCATAGGGGCCTGCAGCTACGCATCATCATCTTGATATATATATATATATATATATATAGTAACGATAAAGGTGCATGAACCTAAGGGTGTCCGTGCAGAACTCTAAACCCTAAACCCTAAACCCTAAACCCTAAACCCTAAACCCTAAACCCTAAACCCTAAACCCTAAACCCTAAACCATACTTGGGCCCTGAAGCTAATACATGAACAAACCCTTGAGGCCCAAGCAGATACTATTCAGGTATGTGGACCCTTAGGACTGTACTTGAGCCCTGAAGGGGCCCCCCAGAATACAAAAGTAAGGGACATGGACCCCCAAACCCTAAACCCTAAACCCTAAACCCTAAAACCTAAAACCTAAACCCTAAACCCTAAACCCTAAACCCTAAACCCTAAACCACCACAACCAGGCCCTAAGTCACGACATCCCCGTAACCTTCGCCCGCAAATCACAAATAGGGTCCCGTGGTACTACTGCTTCTACTGCTGCTCGGGTGTAGGGTTTTTAAGGTTTAGGGTTTGGGGTTTAGGGTTTAGGGATTATAGGGTTATACGGGTACTGGGGGGCATCATGGATCTTTGACGCCATGCTATTCCATACTTGACCCCTCTGACACTCGAGTTTTATGCCCTATTTTACATTTTCTCAGGGGGGGGGGGGACTTGCTATTTCTTCTTTGCTTACGTACTTTTGCTTCATCAACGGCTGCGTGGCCGAGCTTCAAGAATCCTTGCAAGCATCCGCATCGCCCATTGCAGCTTCTGCACGGGGGCCAGCACGTGCTTGCAACAACTGCGCAATCTGATCATGGCCGTTTTCCGAAGCCAAGGCTGCTGCTTGCGAGCAAGGTCCCTTAAACAAGTCCTCCTTAGAGGCAAAGCATACGTCCTCGCCAAAAGCAGTGTCCAGCAAGAGCTCCAGAATCTTGTCGTGGCCTTGGCCAGCAGCGCACACAAGGGCTTCGCCAATTGCTTCGCAGGCCTTGCTTGCGGGGAGCCGGTCAGTTGCAGGCATCCCCCGCAACAAAAAACGCACAACATCTACATGGCCTGTGCGGGATGCCTCAACAAGGGCCTTTGAGATTTCGTTCCGCCGTCGAGTCAGCTGTAGGAACTGTCGAAACATTCTTTTTTCCTGCATTAACCGCGCGTCGATTCGGGCGAATGCGCTTGCATTGCTCTCGTCATAGGTCAGCGGGCCATCTGCACCGTTCTCCTCTGGCCGTGGCTCACTCCATGCGCCAATACCATGCTCTGGCTCGTTCCCGATTCCATTTGTGTGAACACTGTGCTCTGAAATGCCGTCATCCGTCTCCTTCCTTTTTGTTGCAAGCAACAGCTGCACAATTCCAAGATGGCCTTTGCGCGAGGCCTCAACAAGGGCTTGCCTGCTTTGCATTAAGGTGTCCTCGTCAAGACCCAACCGTAACAGACTCTCGGCCACTTCAGCATTGCCCTCTGCCACCGCAACCTCCATAAACTCATCTTCCGCTTCCTGCATGCTTCTTGGCTCAGTCAGTCGCACCAGCTGCAAATCAACTGGCACCTTCAGCTCCGAGTTTTCGTCCAAATCAGCTTGCACATCCGGCTCAGAGCTTCCTTCCAAGGGGCTGCCTCGGCTACGTTGGCGGAGGCGCGCCAAGCGCTGCACGCAGAGCGGGATGCCGTAAATCTGGCGGATGTGCCGCTTCGCACTTGCAAGAGATCTCACATCCTCCGCTCCTGTGGAGAAAAGCTCTTCTCCATCAACCTTAAGCACTCGCAACATGGCGGAGGAGATGAACCTACCTAGAACCCAAGGGTATCCCAGGAATGGAAGGGGCGCCCCTGTTTTGATTTTCGAAGGGGCTTGTAAGGGAACCTGAAACCGCCAAAGAACTCTTGGTCCTGTCTACAAAACTAGTTCATGGTTGGGAGAATATGAAAGTCTACACATTTATTCCTTATTGGGTTTTAGTACCCTCAAAAATGTAGAATGGTACCCAACTATGACAAAGCTATAGGCAGCTATAGGGCTTTGTACAAACTGCTGGGCAATCGCCTGACTTGAGCAATGACTGCATGGCGGCAAATTCAGAGACTTGAGCTGCTTAGGGTTTAGGGTTTAGGATTTAGGATTTAGGATTCAGGACAAATAACCTACAGATCCTAGGACAAGTAGCTGCGGCTCGTTCGGCAAACTGCGCTATCACAAGCCCACATGGGCTTGCGATGGCAAGATTCCCCGATCTCAGGCTGCAAAAGCCACACAGGTCCGTTTTGGGTTTAGGGTTTAGGGTTTAGGGTTTAGGGTTTAGGGTTTAGGGTTTAGGGTTTAGGGTTTAGTATATATATATATATATATACTTTTTTTTTGTAGGCTTTGGGGGTGGTATTATAGTATACTAAGAAAGGGACCCTAAGGGAATACTGATAGTAATTCGCCGGAGCCCTAGATGAGGCTGCTATCAAAAATGGGAGTTGACAGAGGAGAAACAAACCTCAGGCTTGCAGCCCACAAACCCTAAACCCTAAAACCCTCAAATTTCTTGGGGCTTCGCACTGTAGGCAAGGGGCATCGACATCCTGTGAAGCACAAACGCGACAGCCAAGCGGCGGAGCTCGAAATACCAGCGCCCCTGCGTCAGCTGGCATGGCACAGCACGGATCATGCCTGGCCGGCGGGAGTCGTGGAGTCCCTGAAGCCTAAACCCTAAACCCTAAACCCTAAACCCTAAACCCTAAACCCTAAACCCTAAACCCTAAACCCTAAACCTAGAACCCTAAACCCTAAACCCTGAACCCTAAACCCTAAACCCTAAAAACCCAAAACCCTAAACCCTAAACCCAAACCCTACACCCTAAATCCCTAAACCGCTGAGGGAGCTTGGCGTTGGGGGCAAAACACCTGAACTCCTCAGAGGGCTCACGGAGTTACAGGGTGGCAGGGCTAGTGGGTTCTAGGGATATATATATATATATATAGGTTTTAAGGTTAAATTCTGAACGCGAAACCCTAAACCCTAAGCCCCAAACCCTAAACCCTCAACCCCTTACATAGCGCTATAGGTTTTAGGGTTGAATCCTGAACGCGAAACCCTAAACCTTAAGCGCTAAGCCCCAAACCCTAAACCCTAAACCCCTTACATACCCGGTACCCCTTTTGTAGTTGCCATGGGCGCGGACTGTGCGATCTCCCTCCCGTCGGCGACGCCCCCCTCATAAAAAACCCACAAATCATGAAACCCAATGCTGACCCCAGGTTTGGGTTTAGATTCAGCATTTAGGGTTTAGGGTTTAGGGCCGAGGGTTTAGGGCTGGGTTTTGGGCTTTCTAGATTTAGATGTCCTACGCGACCCCCCGGCCAGCTTGCACAAAATGAGGACCAAGCAAGCGGCTCAAATGTGCCTTGCTTCGGCCTTACATGAAAGCTAAACCCTAAACCCTAAACCCTAAACCCTAAACCCTGCACCCTAAACCTGCAAGCTCCAAGATCCTAAAAGGCTGGGTCCCATCTTATGCGCCGAAATACGCGACCTACGAAAGGTAGGTTCGGGGCTCTTAAGCCAAAGCAGCAAATCAGCTTCAAACCCTGCAGGGTTAACAAGCTAGCCCCAACCCCCCCCCCCAATAATAATAATAATAATAATAATAATAATAATAATAATAATAATAAAAAACAAATACACATATACATATACATATATATATATTATAAAATAACAATGATAATTGTAATAATCATAATAACAATAATAATAACAACGATTAAAACAAGAATACAAAATAAACAAACCCTAAACCCTAAACCCTAAACCCTAACCCCTAAGCCCTAAACCCTAAACCCTGAACCCTAAACCCTAATTCGGACGCCACCTGCGTCCAGGCTGTAGAAGCCCCTAAACCCCAAACCCTAAACCTTAAACCCTAAACCCTAAACCGCCACCTGCGTCCAGGCTGTAGAAGCAGGCATCTGCAGAGCGAACGATGCCCGGCGCTGCCACGTCCAAGGAGGCGGGGTTCTCTACGGGCTTGCCTTCAACAGCAGAGGGGTGAGGGTTTAGGGTTTAGGGTTGAGGGTTCAGGGTTGAGGGTTTAGGGTGTGGGGTTTAGGGTTTACGGTTTAGGGGTTCAGAGTTCAGAGTTACAAGGTTTGGAGCTTGGGGCTTGTGGGGGTGTATAGGGTTTAGGTGTACGGTATCTCAAAATTTCAAGGTGGATGCATGGGATGAACCTTACAAAGTGCGCCTGACCCATCTAAGAACCCGGAGTAACCTAGGAACAAGAAGGGTACCCTTTGTGGTTCTAAGGGGATCACAAGGGAAAACCCAAAGAAAGGAAATAAGGGCCTACTCCGGGTCCTAGCATCTAGGTAGTGGGTAGGTTAGGTTTGGGGGTTGTATCGAGGGTTTCGGGCTGCGGGCTTGGGGTTTGAGAGGGATTGGAGCTTTTTTGGGGTATCTTCTTGCTTTTTCGTTTGTTGTTGGAGGGGGGGGGGGGTATTTTTTCGGGGGTCCATTTTCTTGATTTTTCTAGGAGCAGCTCCAGTCCCTCTATTTTCTCATAGGACCCATACTATTTTTGGTGGGAGTCCTTATTGTTCTGCTGAACTCTTATTGATTTTGGCTCTGTTTCCTTGATTTTCCCTAAGAAAACCTCCAACCCTGTATATTCTAATTGGTTCACAGATGCTCGCATACTGGGTTTCAAAAGATTCGCCATAAAAAACGCGGGCGTGTTTGGGAGGGTTCAAGGTACCTACACCTTCCCCCCCCCCCCCCCGAACAAAAGATAAAACAAAACACCTCAAACCCCTGAAAGTTCTGAAACCATGCAGGAGTACTACAGCCCAAATATGCCCTGAATGGGCTCATCTCTCCCCCCCCCTCACTACGCCCCTAATGCTAAACCTTCCCACTATTGCAATCGGATGTCGTAGTACTGGTGAGAAAATTCGAGGGTACGGGGTGGGTTCCCGACCAACAGACCCTAAACCTTGCGTAGGCTGACTTTAACACAACCCTAAACCCTAACCCTGAACCCTGAACCCTAAACCCTCTTCCCTGAACCCTAAACCCTAAACCCTAAACCCTAAACCCTAAACCCTAAACCCTAAACCCTAAACCCTAAACCCTAAACCCGAAACCCTAAACCCTAAACCGGATCTCGTGTTGGGGTCCTGCGTCCAGGTGGCTTACTGCTTGCTCCAGGGATTCGAGCTGCTGCAGCGCGTTGAAGCCGCCCCCGAAGCCACGCCCCATTTTCACCTGAGGGGCTCTAATTCCCTAAACCCTAAACCCTAAACCCGAAACCCTAAACCCTAAACCCTAGAAAAGGGCGGGCCAGTGGTTTAGGGTTTAGGGCTAGGGTTTAGGGCTAGCGCTTCGGGCTTAGGGTTTGCATGCTGGGGCCCGTCAGTATAAATTTATACATTGTTATGTTCATGGTTTCGTTATACATTATATTTACTTATGAAAGATATAGGCTAGTTGTAGGGGTCAAGTACCATAACTTGTAAGTAACTTCTACGGCTTAGCTGTAAGAAAACCCTAAACCCTATGGCTGAGACAGGGTTTAGGGTTTAGGGTTTAGGGTTTAGGGAGGGAACAAAACGGCTGCAGATCATACAAAAAAGCAAACCTTTTTGCCATCGAATAGCATAGTCCAAGATAAGCTCGCTTATTTTATCTCCTGTAGACATCGGCTTGGGTCTTCAGATGTAGAATTTAGATGTGTCCCGGATGTTGTGTTGGCATGCATCCGCAGCTTCCTCTTTTTCGTGTCCAGGATGTGTCCGGTGTGTCCACCCTATGGATACGCATGTGTCCGGTGTTGTCCGATGTCTCCCTGTCCCGGAAAGGTCCCGGATGTGTCCCGAACGGGCATTCCCTAAGGTTTTATTCTGAAAAACAACCGATTGTAACAGGGGCCCAGAGTTTAGGGTTCAGGGTGGTAGCTCTCTAAGTTAGGGTCTCTTTTGGGGTCCCCTATATAGTACGGCACCCTTCGAGAATAAGGACCCCAAAAGCTTAGAGAACTGCACGTGTGCAGGGGTTGTTTGTAGGGTTGACACGGCATCGGTTGGGACTTTGTGGTTCATAGGTTCAGGGTGTTACAAGGACGGGCCCCCGTTACTATACTAACTATAGTTAAGGGACTTATAACCTAAGTTAGGATCCTTGTAACCCAATTTAGGGCCCTTGCAACTCTACTTGTAACTTGGGGGGCCCCTCCTTGCAGTTACAAGTTTAAGTCACAAGAAGCTTACTTTGTAATACAAGTGGCTGCCTTCTTCTTGGCGCCGAAGCCGCCGAAGCCACCGCCCGGAGCAGGTTGACCAAAGCCGGCCCCCGCACCGAATTGTTGCGGCGCCCAGCCCGGCGCACCGAATGCCGGTGCGCCGAAGGCAGGTGCCGGCGCGCCGAAGGCCTGCGCTCCGAATGCCTGCGCTGGTGCGCCGAAAGCAGGCGCGGGCGCGCCGAAGGCCTGCGCTGGTGCACCGAATGCCGGCGCCGGCGCGCCGAACGCTGGCTGCGCACCGAAGCCAAAGCCGCCCGAGGCGGGCGCTGGCCTGGGATGGCCCTTGAAACCCTCTGACAAAGGATTCCTATAAACCCTAGAACCCTAGAACCCTAGAACCCTAGAACCCTAGAACCCTAGAACCCTATAACCCTATAACCCTGTAACCCTGTAACCCTATAACCCTATAACCCAAAACCCTAAACCCTAAACCCGAAACCCTAAACCCCTGAAACCCTAAACCCTAAAGGGCCTAGTGACTGTGCAGGAGGTCCCTGCCCAAAGGTCGGCTGTGACTCTGCACTCGCGGCCCCTGGGCTGTAGAAGCTCAGCCTCGAACAGAAACTTTCTTGTGGTCATCAGGTTGAGGTTTAAGGATGTAGGGTTTAGGGTTTAGGGTTTGGGGTTTGGGGTTTGGGGTTTAGGGTTTTGAATTTCAGGTTTCAGGTTTAGGGTTCAAGGTTTAGTGGGAATTGAAGGCCACATTGCTTCCACACAAAAGGTATTCCCGGGTGTGAAATCAAAGAACTGTGCCAGCCTACTTGGAGGTTCATGGTACTTAGTAGTTTATTTTTAACTGTACTTATAACAATATTAGGGCACTTAAGGGGCTTGTAAGTGGGTTATAAGTACAGCTATAATTGGTTAATAAGTACCATGAACCTCCAAGTAGACCCCCCAAAAGATACGATAGTTTCGCAGTTGGCGAACACCGACATCCAAAAGCGAGGACAATTTCGCGTTCGCAAACCCAGAAGCCAAAAAAGGCGACAGCTTCGCACTACGGGGAACGCGGATGTCGAAAAAAAGGATCGCAGTTGGCGACCACAAATGCCCAAAAGCGTGACGGTTTCGCAATTGGCTAGACACGAGAAGAGTAACTCAGGAAGAGAGGGCACCCTTTTTGGGATTGAAGGTGCTCATAAGGGAAACTAAACCCTAAAAGACAGGGAAAAAGGGCCTACTCTGGGTATGTGGGGGGAACCATCGGATTTGAAGGGATCCGAAGTATGGGCCCTTCTTCTGTGTAGTGCAAATAAGGGTCATATAACTTGGTAGCCCCGTAACCATATTACAATAAGGGCACCCTGTTTTGGGTTGGTTGCTGTATAAGGGAACCCAGAACCAAAAAAGGGTAAGGGGTACCACTGGGCTAGCAAGATTACAGGGGACCCCAATCCCAGGGCCTCTAATGAGGCGTGGCCGACCCAGAACCCTGGGAAGATCCATGAAGTAGAAGCCCCCAAATACCCCACACTTTGGGATGTTCTCCCCTTAGACCAACAGTCCTTCATAGGGATTCTAGTCCCTATACTGTCGCTATCAAGGACTGTAAGCAAAATGCGGGAAGCATCCCAGCCGGCGCTGCTCTCGGGTCATTTGTTCGGAGCCCTTATGGGGAACTGCCGGTTGGATCCTCCCAGGCGTCAAGGTATAGGCGAGAGCCCGAGTAACCCTAAACCCTAAAACCCTGAACCCTAAACCCGAAACCCGAAACCCTAAACCCTAAACCCAAAACCCAAAACCCAAAACCCAAAACCCTAAACCAAACCTGGAATAAAAGGGTTGTGGGGGCCGACCTTGCACGCCGGCTTCACCGACCTACCCCCACTTTGGAACCCTAAAAGGGCTTATGGTTCACGAAGTTCGCATGCCTGAATAGGAATGTTAGCAGTAATGTTGCACCCTGTTTAGTGTGGGCCCCCCCCCCCCCCCCCCCCCCTGAACAGTCGCGGGGGTGGACGGGATCCTGATTACACGGCCCGGGGGCTCATATGATTTCAATAGGGAGGAGTTTAGATAGGTTCAAAAGGGGCAGCGATGCCCGGTTATCTTTTTTAAAGGCGCGCCGCGTGGAATTTTCTTACGGCGCCCGGACGATTTGTCTTTAAAGAGGGACTCCCAAACAGTCAGCATGTCCTGAATAATTCGGCCAGTTTGTCTTTAAAGAGGGGGCCGATACTAAACAGGGTGCAACATTATAGGGCATAGGGTATATGACCCCAATATTAGGGTTCCAGTGGTCCCCGAAGCAAGTACCGTTCATGTTTCGAACAGCTTAGCTTAGTGTTGACACAGGGCCTGGGGAACAAAATGAACCCCGCGTCGAGGTTCCTTTCGGCCACTTGGCCGTTAAAGGTTCATGAGGGCTATAACCCTAAACCCTAAACCTAAACCCTAAACCCCAAACCCCAAATCCTAAACCCTAACCCTAAATAGGTTTTATGAGGGCACAGGGGTTTCAGGGACTCCAAGGGACACTCAGAAAAAACATAGAGCTGCTAGCGGTTCAGGGTTTAGGGTTCAGGGTTCAGGGTTCAGTGTCTAGGCTTTAGGGTTTAGGGTTTAGGGTTTAGGGTTTAGGGTTTAGGGTTTAGGGTTTAGGGTTTAGGGTTTAGGGTTTAGGGTTTAGGGTTTAGGGTTTAGGGTTTAGGATTGGAAGCCAAAACAGCCAGGAAGCGAGCCCTTCGAGCCCTTCCGCTGGCTGTAGAGATCAGTAATCTGCTTCCTAGGCTTTGCACCCATCCCTGGGTTTGAAGTATGGACTGCTTAGGTTTAACCCTGGTCGTTTGTTGAACCAGGAGACGGGGGAGGGGGGGGGGGGGGGACAAAAAAAAAACGCATGAACATGCTAATGTTGACATCCCTAAACCCCAGACCCGAAACTCGAAACCTCTAAATCCCCCCCAAAAAGGAAATGATTACAGTGTGTTATGTTGAAGACTGAACCCTAATCCCTAAATGCCCCCCCCAAAAAAAAGAAGAAATGATTACAGTGCTTCCGTTGAAGACTAAACCCTACACCCTAAACCCTAAATCCTAAACCCTAAACCCTAAATCCCCCCCCAAAAAACGGACATGACTGCAGTGCTAATGTTGAAGCTTCCTAAACCTTAAACCCCCAAATCCCCCCCCAAAAAAAAGAAAAGTGTTTTATGTTGAAGACCAACCCTAAACCCTAAATCCCCCCCAAAAAAACAGAACTGATTACAGTGTTTTATGTTGAAGACCAGCTTCACCCCCAAATCCCCCAAACCCCCCCCCCCCTCAAAAAAAAAAGTGTTTTATGTTGAAGGCCAGCTTCTTGTCCATGCCGGCCAAAGACAGGCCCTCGATGGCCGTAAGTCGCATGCCGATCTTGATACCCTGCTGGCCAGCCACTGGATTCCTTGCGACGGGTTTTGTTCTATGTCTATATTATACATATATATGCATATATATATATATTTGTTTATTTATATTTATTTATTTGTTGTTTTAATATTTAGGGTCTAGGGTTTAGGGTTTAGGGTCGTTTAGGTTTTAGGGTTTAGGGATGTTTAGGGATTATTTATTTATCTTGCCATACAAGTGCCCCGAACCGCTGTGACCATGTAGAATGACACCGATCACGCCACGCGTTCTTGTCAGGGATCATGCCAAGGCCAATGTACTCTCACGCAGCCCCCCATCCTCCCATTAGGGTTTAGGGTTTAGGGTTTAGGGTTTAGGGTTTAGGGTTTAGGGTTTAGGGTTTACGGTTTCCCCAACCCTGCTGCATCAACCCTAACCCCCTAAACCCTGAACCACACACAAAATAGCAAGCCATGGGGGCGCCAGAGATCAAACCGAAACCCCACATCTACTTGTCAGGGGGGTACCCTAAACCCTAAACCCTAAACCCTAAACCCTAAACCCTAAACCTAAACCCCACACCCTAAACCCCAAACCCTAAACCCTAAACCCTAAACCCCAAACCCCAAACCCCAAACCCCAACAAGAAAAGAAACATAAAGACAGGATAGGTCTCTTGATGGCGTTGACGTAAGCACCCTCCGCATCGAAAGCCTGAGAAGCAGGAGGCACAAGGGTAGGGTTTCATGGCTTAGGTAATTATACAAACCCTAAGGTTTAGAGTTTAGGGTTTAGGGTTTAGGGTTTAGGGTTTAGGGTTTAGGGTTTGGGGTTTAGGGTTTAGGGTTTAGGGTTTAGGGTTTAGGGTTTACGGCTTTGGACCCAGAACAGTTGAATCGGGAATCTCCCGAGAACCCTAACGCAGAAAGCGTTCGCGTGCCTACATTGGTACACTTGGGACATGTAATTGTTCTATATAACAAAAGCAACTTGGGGGGCCCATGTTTCTACAATTGAAGTGCCCTAAACCCTATACACCTCACACCCAAACCCTATAGCACAACACCTACTGGTCCTTGGTAAGGAAATGAGGGACTCCTGGTACCCTACGCAGGATATACTTGGAGGTTCATGGTACTTATTCACCAAGTATAACTGTACTTATAACCAGATTAAGGCACTTAAGGGGCTTACAAGTGGGTTACAAGTACAGTGATGATTGGTTAATACGTACTTAAACCCTAAACCCTAAACCCTAAACCCTAAACGCTAAACCCTAAACCCTAAACCCTAAACCCTAAACCCTAAACCCTATTGGTTAATAAGTACCATGAACCTCCAAGGAAGGCCTTCTAAGAACCAGTAGGAAAAGAGAACTAAACGAGTGATCCAAATGTGCTGAAGTGAGGACAGGTCTGAGACCCTGCTTTGGAGTAGACCGTGGAAAAAAGTATATACTTTTAAGGTGCAAGTAGCTAGAATAGGAGCCTGGAAAGCAAAACAACTCCAAAACCTAGGAGATGTCTAGCTGCTTTGGTTTGTTTGGAAGCCCCCGAAATGAATTGACAAGATGAAACCGCTTTCAAGAAGCTTCGGCTGGTTTAGACTCGATCAAGCTGCCCTGCCCTGTTTGTTTATACTTGGAGGTTCATGGTACATATCAACCAATTATCACTGTACTTACGACTGTACTTATAACCACATTAGGGCACTAAGGGGCTTGTTAGGGGTTATAAGTACAGTTATAATTGGTTAAAAGGTACCATGAACCTCCAAGTATGTCGACTGCTGCAAGTTGTGTAGGCAACCCCCCCAAGCCTTACTTGGAGCTTCACGGGTAGCTACAAGTAGCTACAAGCAGGGTTAGAACTATGGTAACTATACTTCCAACCCCCATCTAGGGTACTTTTAACCCTAAACCCTAAACCCTAAAACCTAAACCCTAAGCCCTAAACCCCCAACATCGCCCTACTTAGAACTAATTACCCATGTTCAACCTTCAAGTACATGCCCTAAACCCTAAACCCTAAAACCTAAACCCTGAACCCTAAACCCAAACCCTAAACCCTAAACCCTAAACCCTAAGCCCTAAACCCTAAACGCTCTCCTGGGCTCCCGGCCCACTTCAGGTGCTCACCCATCCCACTGACGGTCAAGGTCACCGGCTCACCGGCACTAGCACCGGCGTTGCTTCCACCCTGGGTTCTTTTTATTTTTTTAAAGGCGGGGTGAAGAGTTCTTTTTGGCGGGTTCCTTGTTTAAATATTTTGTTTATTTACTTATTATTATTATTATTAATTTATTTATTTATCTATTTATTATTTTCCCTTTGGGGGGGGTGGGGCTCATACCCATGTTGATTGTTTGATGGGGGTGTTTCGGGTTTAGGGTTTAGGGAGGCCAATACAGATTAGAAAGGCTTAGGTCAGTCTGCCGTGTGATTTCGGGGCAAGTCAGCGGCTTGGCTTCGAGGGTCTGCGAGGGAATTTGGTCCCCAGGGTTCGTGCACCGAGGCTTCTAGGGTTTAGGGTCTAGGGCTTGGGGCAAAACTTGGGCCCCTAAAGTAAAGCCAAGTATTTACTACACATGCACATGGACCCTAAACCCTAAAACCCTAAACCCGAAAACCCAACCTAAAGCCCTAAACCCTAAGCCCTCTTAGGGGGTTTTATGGCTACCCGTTTGAACCCCTCATATAGTCCCCCAAATCGTAGATCCCCTGTAAATGAGGACCCCAAAAAGACACCCCGAATATCGTAAACCCTAAACCCTAAACCCCTAAGCGCCCAAGCCCTAGGCCTAAACCCTAAAGCCTAAACCCTAAAACCTAAAACCTAAACCCTAAACCCTAAACCCTAAACTCAAAATCTTAATTCTAAACCCTAAACCATAAACCCTAAACCCTACACCCCCATTTCAGCCGCCGAGCTGGTGCAAGGAGCTTTGTGCCGGACAGCATCTCCTTCTCCTGCCGAGGACGTGTCCCCAACCGTAAGAACCCCTTAGTGTTTAGGGTTTAGGGTTTAGGGTTTAGGGTTTACAGTATCGGGTTTCGGGTTTCGGGTTTCAGGTTTCGGGTTTCAGGTTTGGGGTTAGGTTACCTAGCAACCCTATAAGGTTTATATTTATACTAAGACGCTACAAAATATAGGATTTGGGTTCATTATGAGGTAAACTCTAAAGTCGCAACACGCCAAGTACCTGAAAAAAGGCAACGGCTGCTGAGGGTTCTGCGGTTGAGAGATAAGGCGATTAGGGTTTAGGGTTTAGGGTTTAGGGTCTAGGGTTTCTACAGGTGAACCTGAAGTTGCAGTGGCCCCAAGCTGTTTTGGGGTGCAGGGTTTACAGGGCTTTAGGGTTTAGCGTTAAGCTGAACAATTTCGTTGACAAAGGCTCGGCAGAGGGATTGTCCCAAGCGAACAAAGCCTCGAGAAGTAGTCGTAGCTTTCGAGTCTTTGGGTAGGAATTCAAGTTTACGGCTACAACAGAACAGTTCAAGCCCATTCATGCCCTCAAGTACACCCCATGCCGCTCCTATTCCTTAAATTAGACCTGAGCCGCAAGTGAACCCTAAACCTGAACCCTGCAGCTCCAAACCCTAGACCCTAAACCCTAAACCCTAAACCCAAAACCCAAAACCCTAAGGGCTCGGGTGTGACCCAACAAAAGAAATTCTAAGATCCTAGGGGCGTCCTTGTCATGGAAGGCTTGGTACATCTCCATCTCCACGGCCGTTATCTCTGCCTCCTTGTTGCGACGTGGGGCTCATCCAAACCCTCCAACCTTAACTAGGATGGCCCTTAAAGCCCTCCAACAAATATTCCCAATGAGCCCTTGGCTGCACTCAGGAGGGTAGCTATAAATTAAACTTTTAGCTGCCTTACTAAGAAACCCAATAAACCCAAAAAAGGTCAGGATCTAAAGTTACAGTAAAGTACCACAAAGAGCCCAGGAGGGAAGACATGAAATGTCCCAAGCAAGGGCCTACCGACAGATCATCAAACCCAGAAACCTACCTCTGGGATTGTGAACGGCTTTAGGGGGTTTGCAGGTTGAGGTGGTTGTTAGGACAACTCGTCCATGTTTATAGCAAGGTTATAGGCTTCTCGAAGAGGGCCGAACCCGAATGCACACCAGCCGCTGCTTCTATCAGCCCGAAGCCCGAAGACCGAAAACCCCAAAGCCCCAAGCCTAAGCATAAAGCCCGCCCTAACCCCTAAAACCTAACCCCCAAGCCCGAAACCCTAAACCGGAAATCCTAGGCTCTGCACCTGAAGCGCCCAAATCCATAAAACCTTTAGACCACACACCCCCGGTATACACGATGATGAGAATGATGCTGAAATGCGCTTCCCCAGCAAGAAAACAGGGCTTAGGGCTTAGGGCTTAGGGCTTAGGGCTTAGGGCTTAGCTTAGGGCTTAGGGTCTAGGCCTGGTAGCCCAGTAACCATCTTGCAATAAGGGCACGCTTTATTGGCAATTTTTGGGGGCTCGTTTCTTTAAAAGGGAACCTTGAACCAAACAAAGGGAAAAGGGGTACCGCTGGGCTACCAAGTAGGGTTTCGGGCTTAGGGCACTAAACCCTAAACCCTAAATCCTAAATCCCCCCCAAACAAAAAAAAACCTTTCAGCTACAAAGCAAAGTCAGGTGTCCTTCTGGGCAAAGAGGCCGCCATAGAGGCCCAACCTACATGCTCCAAGGGCCCACGGCTGAGAGCTTCTTGTGGGCCAGGGTGTGCTTAAACCCTAAACCCTAGCCCTGAACCCTGAACCCTGATCCCTGAACCCTAAACCCAAAACCCCAAACCCTAAACCCAATGCCCGGCGACTGGCGATACAGGGATTACAGGGCTTGGTGTTCTCAAGGGTTCAGGGTGCAGGGCTTTACGGATTGGCTTTAACCCTAAACCCTAAACCCTAAAGGGATTGAGTGTAAGTAGGCCAGTTTGGTGATTTTATAGGGGAACCCAGAACCAAAAAAGGGAAAACGGGTACCACTGGGTTACCAAGTAAAGGGAACTGTGCGTACAAAGGCTTCGGGAAAGTAAGTCTTGAAGGGTGTATTCCCCGCCAAGGTCTCGAAAGCAACCGCTAAACCCTAAGCCCTTCCCCCTAAACCCGAAACCCCTAAACCCTAAACCCCCAAACCCTAAACCCCCGAACCCCTATAAGCCCTAAACCCGAAACCCTAAAGCCCTGAACCCTAAACTGGCTTAAGCATTCATGGTGGTTCAAGCTACTGCCTCAACCCCAAAAACACATTGCCCTGATGCCTATCCCAGTGAGCCCTAATGAACCCCACAAATTTCAGATACGCCCTTAATTCTGGCACCCTAAACCCTAAACCCTAAACCCTAAACCCTAAACCCTAAACCCTAAGCCCTAAGCCCTAAGCCCTAAGCCCTAAGCCCTAAGCCCTAAGCCCTAAGCCCTAAGCCCTAAACCTAATGTTGGCCGGGTTGCGGGTACTCCTGCAACAACTTGGGCATCGCCGGACCTGTTGCGGACAAGGCGGTGCACCTCGGAAACGCACGCCCTATGGGCCCATGCACCATCAATGTACCGATGTAGATTTAGGGTTGATGGTTTAGGGTTTAGGGTTTGGGGTTTGGGGTTTAGGGTTTGTCATAGAGTTTCGAGTTTGGGGTGAAGGGTATAGGGTTTAGGGTCTAGGATTGGTCAGCGGAACGCAGCAGTTTGAAGATATGCCCACCCCAAGGCCACCCAATCACCCAATCACAACTCGCAGCAAACCAAACGAGAGCCAGCCCACGCCAGAACCAGCCCTAAACCCTAAACCCTAAACACGAAACCCCAAACCCTAAACCAACGAGATTCTGGGGACTTTGGGCAGACGTAAGGCCCTAAGCCCTAAACCCTAGACCCTAGGCCTTGGACATTCAACCCTACCCTTGCAACCCTCAGCCTTGAACCGCAAACCTCGGCCCCGAACCCTACGTAGGGTTAGGGTTTAGGGTTTAGGGTTTAGGGATTAGGGTTTCGGGTTTCGGGTTTAGGGTTTTGGGTTTAGAGTCTAGGGTCTAGGGTTTACAAGGGTTTAGCCCTACGGCACCCTTGACATTGCTCAATGCTTTAATGACCTTGCCCAATGGATCATTTCCAATATATTCTACCTGATAGAGAGGTTTAGTGTTTCGGGTTTCGGGTTTCGCGTTTCGGGTTTCGGGTTTTCACAAGAGTTCAGGGTTTAGGGCTGAGGGTAGTACATATTTGATATCTCTGCCTCCAAGTGTATGCTACTTGGGTGCATGGACCCTGAGGGCCACCAGTGTCACCACCGCCCCTGTCATAACTCCCGCTGCTGAAGGACTACGACCCTAAACCAGAAACCCTAAACCCTAAACCGTAAACCCTAAACCCTAAACCCTAAACCCTAAGCCCTAAACCCTCGCTTGTTGCACTGTATGCTTAAGGCCTTACAAGGGACCCGGGGGTTGTGTGGAGGCGACATTGTGGGCTCCGACTTAGGGGCTTCCGAAAATAGGGGTACCCTTTCGGGGGGTCCTTTTACAGGGGGTACCCCTATTTTAATTTTGGGAAATAGCCACTTAGGTGCAGGACTTGGGGCTCCTACTAGGCCTTGAAATCTTGGGCCAAAAAGGGGGGGGGGGGGGGGTCCTCTTCTCCGCTGTTCTGGGCCTGTTCCTCGTCCATGACACGCTGGCTCTCCATGGGCAGAAGTCTAGGGTTTAGGGTTTAGGGTTTGGGGTTTGGGGTTTGGGGTTTGGGGTTTGGGGTTTGGGGCTTGGGGTTTGGGGCTTAGGGCTTAGGGTTGCTGCGACACATGGCCGCCAGTTTCGGCATCCATGCTTTCGGGTTGTGCGAGTCTCTGGAAAACGAAGTCACGCTCAACCCTAAACCCTAAACCCGAAACCCTAAACCCTAAACCCTAAACCCTAACCCTAAACCCGAAACCCTAAACCGGCCTAAACCCTAAACGGTCCGGTCTTCGAGCCGCTTGGCACAGCTTTTTCTGGCAACTGCAATCCTCTTCTTCCACAGAGTTCGACTACGCTCCCCTATTTCAGGCCCTAAACCCTAAACCTTGGGGTTTAGGGTTTAGGGTTTAGGGTGCGGAGCTGCAGTTGGTATTGTAGAAAGGAGTTGGTGTTGAAAGTTGAAGGGTCAATGCACCCGGTAATCTTATTGGCTCAAGTTGAAGGGTCAATGTACCTGTTGATCTTCATGGCTCAAGACTGGGCCATGCGCCTGGTAGCAAAAAGAAGTTTTGAGTTCTTGGTGTTTGCTGGTTGGTTCAGGGTGAAACCTCTGGCGACTGTTTGGGTTGATTTCTTTCCCCTTTCGGTTGCCCCCGTAGGTTATGAGCCCAAATTAGGCTTCCTGCGGTGTAGGTAAAATTCTACGCTTGTTTGGCGCAATGGACATGTTGCGGCGTCGGTCAGAACCTGGACTGTCATCCGCGGCCAATGAAGCCGAAGAAAATCGTGGTGATGGGGGTGAAGAACGACAACAAGTGGTACAAGCGCTGACAGATGGTAGGGAGGTTGCAATGATACAACCAACGTCTCAGGTGGAAAACGAAGTGGTTCCGGTTCCAGCAGCAAATCCTTTCTGGAGCGAGCGGGCTCAAGAAGAAATGAGACTGAGGCAATCAAGGCCGGCAAGTCTTCCTGCGAGCGGAGGGGATAGAAGTGGTGAAAATACGAGGAGGCCACCTTCGCTGCAAGATCTTTTGGGTCAGGAACCTGCACCTGTTGAGAGACCATCGTCAGGCTTGATGGGCCAGATGGAACGAGGTACTATTGGTGGAGCGCAAGTAGAGGAAGAGCTCATTCCTGATGTTGGTGGTGAAGAACAAAGTGAAGATATGGCGGTAGTAAAGCGTGCGCTGAAGGAGTTGCTTGTGCAAACAAAGGAGCTGGGGAACAGGTTGCATCGGGTGGAGGAGAAAAGCTATACCTCTGCTGCATCTGGGTCAGCTTCGAGAGCACGGAGCACTGGAGTGGTGGACGCAAACGCTGCATATCCTTTGGGAATGACTCCAGAGAAACAGTACCTGCCAGGGCAAGTTTTCTATACTGATGGTATGGGTGGTTTTTGGACTGTGTTGCCTGATGGGACATGGCTGCCTATTGAGGGCTACGACCTGCCAAAGGGTTGTGATCTTCAATCCTTGCCTGGGTCCAGGAAGGGGGATGCTCAAGTGGAGGATGAAAAAGAAGTGCCAATGATGCATGTAGCTGAAGGGAAGAAACCCTCCAGATTGCCTCCATTGAATTACCCCACGGGAGGCCCTGCAAGTGGTGGATATGCAAGTGGACCGCCTGGTTTAACACATGTTCCGATAACTTCCTTGCCATCAGGTGCTGATGGTTCTGCCGCACCTGTGGGGAACCAGCCCGGTTTTGTTTCAGCTCGGGAAACTGCGACGCAAGAAAACTTAGCAGGATCGGGTGGATATACAATGGTGGATGATGTTCCGTATCGGTGGAAAATGGTCGCTGGGAAGTTGATATTAGAAAAGGTTCCGCTCACAGCTGTTACGCCTGGTATAGGACATGGACTGCCTCAAGGGCCTGGTGGTAGGGTCAGTTTACCTCCTGGAGCAGTGGTGCCGCGTGGTATGCCAATCATTGGTGATAGTTCTGGAACCAAACGTCCGGAGGCTCTTGGGAAGCATGTGATGAGCCTTCCCACTTTGGCAGACTACACACCAAGCAATCCGACGGCACTAGGTGATTGGATCGCAATGATCGAACCAATGTTGTCTTCGCTGACAGATACAGGAAGAGTATGGTGGCAATGCGTCTATTCAAAGGCGTATCGGGCGTATGCCAAATGGTTGAGTGTTTCTCCGCTGGAAAGGTTGGGCATCAAGGCTGAGCTGGAAGGGCTCAAAGTGGTTCAAACTGTGCATGTTTTGTTGGGGCAGAGAGCGGTGTCTTTACTGCTGCAGGCGATTCCGGAGAGATTGAAGACCGA